TGACATGGCGATTGGTGTATGATTTCTTTAGAAAATTAAACAATAGGCTAGCTATTTCAGTTTTTCAAAAGTATATATATTTTTGCACGGTCATATAAGTCGGATAAGAATTGAACATACCACGATATGTTAGAATATGAAATAGCCGTTTTCCGGTGAAAAAATAGAAGATATAATATCCTACCTACTTTACATGTATAAATGGATATACAACAGAGACTACTATTGTATGGTAATTGAATTTTCATTTATTTTATTTTTAACAAAAGACAAGAAAGTATTTAATCTATTAATTTATAGTCTTATTTTATCTACTATTAACAAGTTATAGTAAGACCACTTACATAATTAATTAATATAACATATATTTGTTTATTTACATTAATGAATTAACCAAATATAAATTTGAATTTTATTTTTTAATTATAATAAAATCTTTTGACAAAGAATCTAAAATATCTTACTTGAATATTCAAATATTTTTTTTTATAAAATAATACATTAATAAATTTCGCTAATTAGTAATATAATCTTATTATAAATCAATGTTAACTAATATTTTATTATAAATAAGGAAAACAAAAATTCTATAATATTTTTTATTAATTCTATAATTATATTCTGCATTATATAAAAATATCAGTCTATATGAACTAAATATGAAATTATATTAAATAGGTAACAAACAAATTTTCTAATTTCAACTTTTTCATTTAAACAAATCATCAATCATCATTAAAATATGTTAAATTTCATAAACTATATAATATTTTATACAAAAATAAATGTATTAACATAGGTTAAATTTTTATATCTACAACTATATATTTTATTTTTATTTATTTTAAATTTCTCAACAATGTATTGTTTAAAATGTTTATATACAAAATATAATAATATAAAATAACCTTTAGTTCATAAAATATTTAAAATATGTTATTAGAAAACTATGAAATTTTAGTAATTCATTTAAAATATTAATGAAAAATCAAATTTAAATTATAAATTTGTATTTTAATTATAACAAAATATTTGAGAATTGTTTTAAAAATATAACCAAATTAAAAATATTTAAAAAAATAATATATTAATGTAGAAACAAAAAAAATCATAATTCATGTAATGTTTCGAACTCAAAAAATTTGTGTAATCTTCCAAAGTTTTCTTGACAAAATATAAAATTTTGGAAATGAAAATGAAAATTTAAAATGATAATATTGCAAATTTTACAAACAATGAAATCATAAATAATAAGAATAATATTTTGAAGTCATAATTTTTTTAAAAAAATTAATATAAATAACATCAAAAAAATATCCTAGATCATTAAAATTTACTAAAACAATATGATAGATACTACTAAGTATGAAATGTACTAAAACAACATGGCTATATTATTTAAACAAAAAAATATTTTATTTATAAATCACGTAAATACTAAAATGATATATGTTAAAAGTATATTTTCTTAAACACAACATGTAAATATAAATTCTTTTAATCATATTTCTTTTCTACAATATAAATAAATAAAAATTAAAAATGTATTATATCAAAATGTATATTAAAGAAAATGACATATTTTAAAGGAGGTTCTCTATTTGATTATTTTATATTATTATTTTATGTATTTAACACAAAAATATATTAGTAAGTAATAAAAAATTAATAACAAAGTAAATTGTTTTAAACAAATCACAATATACTATTAATAGCGAAGAAAAAATATAAACAATAATATTATAGAGCTACACAGTATATAATATGAAAATATAAATTATGTACTAAAACCATTTGTAATAATATCAAATATATTTATATTTGGAAATATTTGCACGAAAAAAAAGAGTATGCTAATGATACAGATGGTAGGTAACGACGGCTCAATCGAATATGTTTTCTCAAAACCATGTGTTAGAAATCTAATCACATCTTCTTCGTTCCTACCAACTTATTTTTTGTTTGGTAAGAGAACTATCAACGTATTATACTATCTTCAATTGTTTTGTTTTTAATCCCTAACGAATCTATAAAAACCCCTTGCTTTGGAACAATTAGGATATTGAAGGAGGGGGACATAATATTGACTGGGAAATAGATTCGGTAATGGCCGCAGCCTCAAGCACCGTCGCTTCTTTCAGAGCCTCCGTTTCTCCAGCTCCTTCCTCCTCCTCCTCTCCCCAATTAACCCATTTGAGATCCCCCTCCAAAGCTCTCAAATTTACGCCTCTGCCATCCTCTCGCTCAAGGCCAACATTCTCCGTCTCCTGCACTATCGCCAAGGACCCGCCTGTTCTCATGTCTGCCGGATCCGACCCGTCTCTCTGGCAACGACCCGATTCGTTCGGTCGGTTCGGGAAGTTCGGTGGCAAGTACGTCCCCGAGACGCTAATGCACGCTCTCTCCGAGCTCGAAACGGCCTTTCATTCTCTCGCCACCGACGATGATTTCCAGGTACCTTCCTCCTCCTTCGTGATTTTGAATAGAAATTAAACATTTTTTCGTTGTGGGTCGTTCGGATTATAGGTAAAGTTTGGATCTTTTCGATACAGAGCAAAATGTATAGATGTTATTGTACCTTGTCCTTCGTGATTTTAGTAGAAATTAGACATTTTTTTTCGTTGCGGGTCGTTCAGATTATAGGTAAAATTTGGATCTTGTTCGGTTTCTTATGTCTGAGTTTTGTCTCCTTTTGTGTCGATGAATCTTGTTAGAGAGAGTTGGCAGGGATCTTGAAAGACTACGTGGGTAGAGAGAGCCCTCTGTATTTCGCAGAGAGGCTTACAGAGCATTACCGCCGCGAAAATGGGGAAGGTCCTCTTATATACTTGAAGAGAGAAGACCTGAACCACACAGGAGCTCACAAGATCAACAACGCCGTGGCTCAAGCGCTTTTAGCCAAACGTTTGGGGAAGAAGAGGATTATCGCTGAGACGGGAGCTGGTCAACACGGTGTGGCTACAGCTACCGTGTGTGCTCGTTTTGGTCTGGAGTGTATTATCTATATGGGTGCTCAAGATATGGAGAGACAAGCGCTTAATGTGTTTAGAATGCGACTTCTTGGTGCCGAGGTAATGCTCAAGACTCATTTTTAAATGCGAGAAACATTGTTTTATTGAATCGTTTGTGGTGTTACAGGTGAGAGGAGTTCACTCTGGAACAGCAACGTTGAAGGATGCTACATCAGAAGCGATAAGAGATTGGGTGACAAACGTTGAAACTACTCATTACATATTGGGATCTGTGGCGGGTCCTCATCCTTACCCGATGATGGTCAGAGACTTCCACGCGGTGATCGGTAAAGAAACGAGGAGACAGGCGATGGATAAATGGGGTGGGAAGCCGGATGTCTTGGTGGCTTGTGTTGGTGGTGGTTCAAACGCGATGGGACTCTTCCATGAGTTTGTGGATGACACAGAGGTTCGGTTGATCGGTGTGGAAGCTGCTGGATTTGGAGTGGATAGTGGCAAACACGCTGCTACGTTGACAAAGGGAGATGTGGGTGTTCTTCATGGAGCTATGAGTTACTTGCTACAAGATGATGATGGTCAAATCATTGAACCTCACTCCATCAGTGCAGGGTAAGATAAAACTCGATTAATGATCCACTAGGTACCATAAGTAGTCTCTCATGATCACTGTTTTGGATTTCTCTTTACAGATTGGACTACCCTGGAGTTGGACCGGAGCATAGCTTCCTTAAAGACATGGGGCGGGCTGAATACTTTAGCGTCACAGACGAAGAAGCATTGGAAGGTAATGAATAGCTTTTTGTTCTGTATTCTAAAACCTGTTGTTTAGTTCCATGTCTCACCTTCTGTGTTCACTTTGAATTATAGCGTTCAAGAGAGTATCTAGGTTAGAGGGAATAATTCCAGCACTGGAGACTTCTCACGCACTAGCTCACCTCGAGAAGCTATGTCCAACGTTACCGGACGGAACGAGAGTGGTCTTGAACTTCAGCGGAAGAGGAGATAAAGATGTTCAGACGGTGGCTAAGTATCTTGAAGTTTGAAAAGAATAAGAACCTTTTGTTTGTTTGTTTTTTAAAGTTTAAGACAGTGAAATCTTTTTGTACGTGTAATCTATTTGTACTTTTCTGTTTCCAAAATAATTGGAAATAGCAAAGGACTACGAAGTGAACAAAATTTGAATAAACTGTTCTTTTGTTTGCTGTCACCTCGCTAAAACCACGTTTGCATATGCCAGGCATGATATAGTTTAGAAGTTCTTGAACTGGAGATTGGTTATATTGTATATGGTGTTCGAGCCAGTGCATCTGCTGCTGGATTGTGACTTGTTTTTATTTGTACCACTTGAACAATAGCAAAAAGTTTGGTCCAATCATGTATATCAGAGATTAAGTTTGTCTTTGCTAAAATAATCCATTTGAAACCTCGATTCGATAACGTTTGTAGAGCCTGGAGTAGGCTGAAATCTTCTGCTTCCAGAGGACTGACACTTTTGGATTAGTGAAAAAACCTGCTGTCATAAATCTTCCTTTTGTGTCATGAATGATCCAACCTGATACTACGGGCGCATTTGCATCCCGAAAGCTAGCGTTATGGTTGTATTCAAACGATCCAGTAGGAGACAGTTTCCAAACTGAGCCGAGCACTCGTGTTGTAGTGTCTAATGATATTATGACGATTAGTTAGAGTTGCATTTATCATCCATATGCTCATTTTCATATTTTGTTTTATGAATCTTTCTGAGAGAGTCCATGTGTATTTAACGTTGCTATTTCTACAATAGAAAAGTATCCAATATTTGAGAAACATATATTTACGAATAAATAAATAAAGATAGAGAGAATCTTCCTTGAGTATATTCGTCACTGGACCTATCACTGCCCCTTCTGAATACCCAAGAGACATGTCTCTTTCTATCTCTGCCTAGTGCCTACCCTGAACCAAATCTAATGCCTCAGTTTTATTCCCAAGCATCAACACATAATTCGTACAAATAATTATTCTTTGATGAAAAAATCGTTATTCTTTGGAATTCTTGCTTAGAGAATGTTTCTTACAAATGAAAAAACATGCTGCTTATAGTGCTGAATGAATAAACAAAACAATGAAACGAAACTACATGAACTGAAATTCAAACGCTTAAATCCAAATAAACGAGATTAATCTTTAAATATTATTTATATATATTAAAAATTGTCGTAGTTGAAGAGAGTTGTTTTATTCTCAAGGGGGCAATTTGTATTTCGCCACTTTAGGTACAAAGAGGTTGTAATCTTCTCATTCCCCCCGAATTCAAACTTAAATCCGTAAAGCTCAATTAAAGTAAAAACTGCCTAAAACACACTAAAACCTTGTTGTCTTCATTCTCATCATTTCTTCATTATTGTGGACACGTATCTACATTAAGCTCTTTCCCCCGGTTTTAAACCGAAATCAATGAGCTCAACATCGGACTGGAACACTTCATGTCTTGCCCGTTCAAAGCTTTGCCTGCACCACACGCAAAAAACCATGATAAAGTAACATCAGGATAAGGATTTCAAGTTATTGATTCTTGATGATGTCAAAGACGTAATAGTTAGTTTAATCAGATGGCTAAAGGGTCATCACGTGGCTCTGAAATGAAGCCAAGAGACGTTTATTTATCATATTGCAGATGGATAACAGGGGTATATTGGTCATTTTAAGATTTGTGTGCGTTTGTGTGGTTTACCTGGGAATACAAGAAGGTTCCGAGGATAGCAATGGCGGCTCCAAGAGCGTTAACGGGCTGGACAGGAGTGCGGAAGATAATGATGGAGGAGACGATGACTGAGATACGTTTCATGGTGTTACCGACACTAAAAGTCAAGGGAGAGATTTGGTCTAAAGACATATAAGACACTTGGTTGTAGAGGTGATAAAACACACTCTGCGCAACCACCCACCTACAATTTTAATAGAAGAAAAATGTTAAATGGAGTAAGCGAATGAGATGGATCCATTGTCCTAATGACGACAAGACCCAAATAACTCTTATCATTAGGATACGAACAAGAACTTTGATAGATAAAGACAAGAACTTGATATTCTAGGAACAGGACAAGGCTACATCTAACACGACAAAACGTCAACACCATACTTTTGAGTTTAAGAGAGTTTCATAAGAGTTTACCATACAAACTGAGGTCCAATGTCGGAAAGAGCCTTTTGCCAGCCATCGATCCACATCTGAGGTCCTTCAACCGCAATTGCAAAGGGAGTGAGGATCAAGAGTGATAACATGGAGAGACAAGCGTAGTAGTTCATTCCGCTCACAGACTTTCCCTTCATTCCCTTCTTTGAGAAGATGTTACGGAACACAAAAGCCAAGTTCGAAATCATCGCTCCCATGAAACCTGAGAAAGCAGAAAAAACAGGGCTTATAGAAGCTAGCTAACAAAAGACAAAAAAAAAACGTTACGATCAAGAATATGTATATATATATATATATATTACCAATCATGTTGAAGTTAAGCTCAGTAAGAGCAGAGAGAGCACAGCCACCAATGATGGGAATGAGGGAGAGGTAAACCGAAGTAGGGAAGGTTTCACCCAAAAGGAACCTCGAGACAAGAACGCTAAAAGCTGGTTCACCACTCTTGATGATGTGAGTGAAGGAAACCGCAACCTTTGACATACTCACCGTTGCAGCCACATGACCAATCGTATGCGCCACAGCAACCTTTAACCAATCCAACCAAAAGCCACTTTTAGCACAACTAAAAACCAAAAAGATCAATACTTTACTAGAAGCTAAAGTACTTAAAATTCTCATAATTTAGCTACGAAATTTCAAACTCTAACAAAATAACAAAAATTCAGAAGCTTAAGAAACAAACACAGCCAAAATAAGACATCTTTTTCCTCTATCTCACTAAGGAAGCAAACAAAACTATGCATATCACTCAGGTAACAAAAGGACAACAAAATACTCATGCAAGATTTGTATCAATTTTGACCAATAAACCTCACTAACCCATCATCGTAAACATCGACACCTAACCTAAAATCTCCACCTTTTTCCCACCAACCCCACTTACCGGAAAAAGAGTTTTCCAGAAATCAAAATCCGTTTTCGGAGTCTCAACGATCCCAACAGCCCAAGAGATAAGCATCATCAACGAACCAGCAGCGAGAGAGAGCGTGGAGGTAAGCCATGGATAAGGGTAAGCGTTCAACACTTTCTTGTTGTATATATTGAACACAACGTTCAAAGCCCACCAAGTCGCGAAGTAAACCCCGATCTTCAGTTTCTTCGCCGCCTCCGGCTTAGTTTCCTCCGCCGCCTCCGCATGAGGCTCCGACTTATCGGCTTCGTAGGCGGAGCATCTCGCCGGAGCCTTTGCTCTCATGGGAGAGAGATGGAGAGGCTTCGAGAGGGCTAAAACGGTGCGTTTTGGAAGGGCCGTCGATGGAAAGGAGAGAGATTGGAGTGAGAGAGAGGGGTTACGTCGTGAGAGAGGGGTGGAGAATCCGATCTTAGCGGAGAGAGTCTGCTTCGCCGCTAAAACCATCGTCGGAATAGAAGAAAATACTTTTTTTTTGTCGAATTAAAAAAAATTAAAAAGTTTTGATCAAGGAGAAGGTCGTTGGTTAGTAGCCAAGAGAAGCGATCAAGGGTTTTGACTTGGAATTAAGAACGAAGAAGAATTACAACAACTCTATGTTCTTACAGTAACTAGATGTTCTTCTTCCCTATGTTTATAGACAGAGAGAATTATATATAAAGAAAAACTATGCAGTATATGAGTAGGGTATATGCGCTTGGGAGAGAACGCATTAACTTTATTTATTTCCTACTCCTTTAAGGAAATTCAAAAAGTAAATTATTATTTATTTCTCACGAGACTATATATATAAAAGAACAATATTTATAAGTTTTAATGCGTAAGGTTTACAATAAATATAGCAAATTTTGTAAACGTTTCAAGAAAAAAAAGAATACGGAGTGGTTGTGAAAGGCTTATACAAATAGTTTGCCGACTAAAAAGAAATTACAAACAAGTTATATGATTTGACCCAAAAAGAGGGAAATTTGCCAATAGAAAACAAAAACCACAACTATTTTCTTCTTAGAACAAATTTTTATTTTTTTCATTTTGGACTTTATTATCCTTTTTTATATAAAAATTCACAACAATAAATTTACAAGACAAAGAATTTAGAAAAATATAAAATAGGAAGTAAATAAGCATGTGCATATATGAAAAATATTTCTGAATTCAAAAAATGTTTGGAATAGTAATCTCTAAAACGAGGTAAACAGAGTAGTAAATCAGATCTACCATCTACGTGGTTTAGAGTGTGTAATCTACTAACAACACATTGATTTAAAGGGCTTAGAATGTATAATACACCAAAAACATATACATCTACGCAGCCAGAATAAGAAATCTGTCTTTTCTTCTTTGTTCTGAAATTTTAGTAGAACATAAAACATACAAAATAATCATGAATCTACCTTGGTAGAACATACATTCTGAGCTTATATCTTTTATCTGAGTCCGTGGAGTTAGCGTATTAACTGATTCAATTATTTGGTAAACTTGGTAAAATGTATGTTCTGCCAGTTTTTTTGAGCAAACATCTGAAAATCTAATAAAATCTAGAAAAAATGGTTAGTAAATATTCTTTAAATATTTTAAATATTTTTATTTTATTTTGGCTAGAACAAACATCAGAAATAAGATCTTTTTAGGTGTTATACATTAAATATATGGAACAAAACTTGTTAGTGGTATGTGGCCTAGTGCCCCTTGTTCGAAAATTCACTAGGCAATTTGCGTGCGGTTAGGTAGTGCCTTGTGCCTAATTAGTTAAGCGGAAACTATATAGAGATTAATTGAGGAGTAATTTTGTAGATTTTATATATGTTTATGCGTTATATTAATAATGTGGACACCAAAATCGTAGATTATACCTAGTCTAGTGGTAATGTGTTTCTCCAAACTCGTTTCACACCCAGGTTCAAAACTTAGATAGCTCATTTTGTCAGTTTTCCAACTTTTAGGTTAAATGAATTGGTTAAAGATGAAAATAACCCTATCTTTAACCTAAGTCTCTGCGTTTTTTTTTCACAGAACAATAGCCGCCTTTTTTTTTACGATTACATTGTGTTCTTATCTTGAAGATTTAAATAAATATAGAATGGATCTACGAGATATATGAGATTTAGAACACAAAATCTACAAAACGATGAGTTCTTAATATTTTCCAATTAATATTCTGATTTACACCAAATCGCGGCGATGCTCCTCCATATCACGGGTTTCCGGCGATTGACCAGGCGCCGAATCCATGTTTTTGAACAAGGGTCCTAATAAACAACAAAAACATTAATTTAATTAATTTTTAAAACACATTGTAATTGTATTTTAAAAATAATTGGTGAGGATTAAACGGGATTTACATTAATGTACATATTATATGGACATTAATTTAATTTTTTATTTTAAGAGGACAATACTTAAGTTTTTTTGTTTTTTATTAGCAAATTTCCCCCAAAAAAAAGTTATATGTTTTAGGCTAGTTTACAAATTTCTTCAACAAACAATACAAAACATGTGCCACGCAAAGTGAGTAACTTTGACTGGATCCTTGTGTAATCAACCGTTAAAAAAACAAATTTTGGGAAACCAACACTTTTCGGTTTCTATCTACAGCGAAACCTTTATAAATTAATAATATTGGAATTATAGCAAAATTATAATTTTTTATTAATTTATAAGGATTATTAATTTATCGATATATTAATTGAATCAAAAACTCAATTTGGAACTATAAAATTATATTATTTTATAGAAATTTTAAGTGTATATTAATTTATAGAGTATTAATTTAAAGAAGTTATACTGTATGTATTGCATAAAATTAAATCATATTACTTCTGAACGTCTACGTATTTATAAATATGGATCTTTGTTTTTGACTGATTTAAATACCCAAAAGAGAAAATAAATCTATGAATTGCACCTCTGAATAGAGATTACTTTGAATATTTTTACTGATTCGGAATAGCTAAGTTAATAAAAACAAAGAGTGACCAACACATTATTATATGTAATATTTTTGTCAACTAATATTTGTCGTTCATTGTGTAAAATTTAGAATATGGAGTATCTAGTGACACTTAATTTCACTATTTCATTGGGAAAAGTTGGTAAACTGACAAATGCTGACGTAAGATTTTTGCAACAAGAAAAATGCGTATACATTTGGTGAAAAAGGGCGTATATTTTGTCAAAAAAATGCGTATACGGTGATACTATTTCTCAAGAAGAAAGAAATGCGTATATATAATATATATACACGCAAATACAAAAATAAAAGTCAATGGTTGTTGAACTTATCAACTCAAAGTTCTTAAAATATAATAAAAGTTACCTTGCTTAGAAAACATTCCATAGCTTCCATAGATCTGGAATTGTCTCTCTTTTTTTTTTTTTTTCTAAGTTGCATGTCATGTTTTTCTCACAATATTTTTTTTCCATCTGAACTTTTTATTGATAGCAATTGAAATAACATACAAAATAAAAATACTATAGCTGGCGGAATACATGGATATCCCCAGAAACTAAAGCCACAAGAAAAAAAACAAAAGCCCAAAGAAACATGACACATACATCACACATACCATTAAACAACATATCTTAAACTAAACCCAATCAACTACCTAACAAGAGATAACAAAACAAAAGCTTACAATCATATGACTAGCCGGAATCTTGCTATGATAAACAAGCGAGCACAAAAGGTAGGAGACTTCTTCTTGAAGAGCAGGAACCCTCATATGAACCACCCGTTCACAATGACCACTAACCATTTTAACAAAACCGCGACAACAAACCTATTAACGAAGCAAACATCCAGAAAAATCTCCTTCTTTAACCGCACCTTCAGTTGCATGTCATTTTGTTTGGAGTTTTAGTCGTTTAGAGAGTTTTCTAAATCTTGATCCTCAGATCTCTCTTTTAGAGGTTGTGTTTCATCGGTGAAAGTTCATGCTGATATATCTTGAATCTAGATGTTACATCTTGGCGATAGATATTACATCATGTACATTATATTGATTTGGTTGCATCAAGAATGTTACATCAATTTATTATGAATGTTACATCTGATTATGAACTTAGGTTCATGAGTCTGTTTAGTTTAGGATCTTAGATATGAGATGCTATTATACATATCTTGTATTCAAAGTAACCATAAATGTGCACTATGTAAGTGCAATATCGCCTCCAATAATAAGTCTCTTTGCACGTGGATGTAGTCCTAGGGATGAACTACGTTAAATATCTGCGTCTGTCACAACAAATTGGTATCAAAGCTCGGGATTGATGATCTGGTGAGAAGATGTTTGGGATAAACGCGAAGCTTGGAAAATTTGATGGGAGAAATAGCTTCAGGTTTTTGCAGATCAAGATGCAGACGTTGCTGAAGCAACAAGACATCTTGGGACCGTTGTTTGAGAAGAATCAGATGTTTCTTTTTTGGAGGCTTTGGAAGAGAAGAAATTCTCAAAAAAAATTTTGTGTCTAGTAGACGAGGTCATCACCGAAGTGCCGGATGAGAAAACCGCTGCTAGTTTGTGGCAGAAGTTGGAGAGTTTATATTTGACGAAATCTTTAACGGACAAGCTAATTATAAAGAATTGCCTTGCCTATGCAAAAAGGTATTGAGCTTCACGACCATCTTGACAAGTTAAATTCGATATTATTGGAGCTGTGTAATATCGATGTTAAGGTGGAAGATGAAGAAGCTTCACTAGTTCTGTTGGTATCTCTGACAAACTCCTACGTGAACTTCGTGCAATCGTCATTGTTGGCAAAGATACAGTGAAACTGGAAAAAATTATGTTGATGGTTCATAGTTGGAAGTTGCGCCATAAGGCATCCAGCTAAGGGAAATACAATCAAGCATCGGGATTGTTCGTCAGTGGTGTGAAGGGAGATGGAACTAGAAGGAATTCTAAAGATAGGAAGTTGTTTTCAAGGAGTCCTAAGCCAACTGATATTTGCAAATATTGCATAGATACACACACTCTTCTGATATGTAGGATTTTTATACATGAGCATCCTACCATATGACACCGAGAATAGAGTTGTTTCAGAGTATATAGAGGTAATTGACACTAAGATTAAGATGGCAAACAACTTTGTCTGGAAGATTGCTGGGATCTGCTCAATCAAGCTTAGGACACATGATGGTAGATTCTGCACATTGAACAAGGTTAGACATGTTCCATCATTGACGAATAATTTAATATCTGTGATTTTTTTTTGGAAAATAGAGGGTTCAAATATTCGGGTGGTGATGGAGTTCTGAATGTCTAGAGGGGTTCTGGTGTGATTTTGAAGGATTTCATGAATGGTACTCTGTATTTGTTGAATGGTACAACAATTACCGGTTCAGAAAAAAATTGAATCGCCAGAGATCCCAGAGGAAGATATGACTAAAATATGACATATGACGTTTGGACATATTGGTGAATGTCGGATGCGACATCTGTCAAAACAAGATCCTCTTCGTTCGGATACTGGTTTGGAATTCTGCTCGAAAGAGTTCAAACAATCTTGTAAAGATACAAAAATTGTTAAGCATCTTACACACATGGGAACACCACAGTGGGATGGTGTTGGAAAACGGATGAACCAGATAATCCTAGAGAGAGAGATGTGCATGATCTTAAGTATTGGTTTGTAGAAACAGTTTTGGGCTGAAGTAGTTAACACGGCT